AATACAGGGACTGTAAAAGAGTGTGAAAAGCAAAGGTTTGAAACAGAGTTCAGGAAACAGAGGGCTGAAACCGAGTGCAAGAAAGAGTGTGCCTGAAAGTGATGGGCAGAAACAGAGTGCAAGAAACAGAGGGGCTGAAACAGAGTGCAGGAAACAGAGTGCGAGATAGAGAGGGGCTGAAACAGAGTACGAGAAACAGAGGGGCGGAAACTGAGTACGAGAAACAGAGGGGCAGAAATAGAGGGTGAGAAACTGAGTGCCTGAAAGAGAGGTGCTGAACCAGAACTGTCCCAACAGAGGGGCTGAAACAGAGTGCGAGAAATAGAGTGCCTGAAAGAGAGGGGCTGAATAAAGTGTTCAAGAAACGGTGGGGCTGAAACAGACTGCGAGAAGGAGAGGTGATTAAACAGAGTGCCTGGAACAGCGTGCAACAAACAGAGTGCGAGAAACAAAATGCCTGAAAGAGAGGGGCAGAAACAGAGTGCGAGAAACAGAGGGGCTGAAGCAGAATGCGAGAAACTGAGGGGCTGAAACAAAGTACAAGAAATAGAGGGGATGAAAGTGAGCATCTGAAACAGCCTGCGAGAAATAGAGGGACTGAAACAGAGTGCGAGAAACAGAGGGGCTGAATCAGAGGGGCTGAAATGGAGTGTTGGATACAGAGGGGCTGAAACAGAGTACGAGAAACAGAGTACGAGAAACAGAGGGGCTGAAACAAAGTGCGAGAAACAGAGTGCCAGATATAGAGTGTGCGAAACAGAGTGCGAGAAGCACATGGGCTGTAACAGAGTGTCAAAAGCAAAGGTATGAAACAGAGTTCGAGAAACAGAGGGCTGAAACAGAGAGCAAGAAACAGAGGGGCTGAAACAGAGTGCCTGAAACAGAATGTGGGAAACAAAGTGCGAGATAGAGAGGGGCTGAAACAGAGAGCAAGAAACCAAGGGGCTGAAACAGAGTACGAGAAACAAAGGGGCAGAAATAGAGTGCAGGAAACTGAGTGCCTGAAAGAGAGGTGCTGAACCAGAATGGACCAAACGGAGGGGCTGAAACAGAGTGTGAGAAACAGAGTGCCTGAAAGAGAGGAGCTGAAACAGAGTTCGAGAAACAGAGGGTCTGAAACAGAGTGCAATAAGGAGAGGGGATTAAACAGAGTGCCTGAAACAGAGTTCAAGAAACAGAGTGCGAGAAACAGAGTGCCTGAAAGAGAGGGGCAGAAACAGAGTGCAAGAAACAGAGGGGCTGAAGCAGAGTGCGAGAAACACAGTGGCTGAAAGTGAGCATCTGAAACAGAGTGCGAGAAACAGAGGGGCTGAAATAAAGTGAGAGAAACAGAGGGGCTGAAACAGAGTGGCTGAAATGAAGTGTTGGATACAGAGGGGCAGAAACAGAGTGCGAGAAACAGAGGTGATTTAATAGAGGGCCTGAAACAGAGTGCAAGAAACAGAGGGGCTGAAACAGGGTGCTAGAAACAGAGGGGCTAAAACAGAGGAGTTGAAACAGAGTGCTAGAAACAAAGGGGCAGAAACAGAGTGTGAGAGACAGAGCGGATTAAACAGAGTGCCTGTAACAGAGTGCAAGAAACAGAGTGCTAGAAACAGAGGGGCTGAAACAGAGTGCGAGAAAATGAGGGGCTGAAACAGAGGGACTGAAATGGACTGCTAGAAACAAAGGGGCAGAAACAGAGTGTGAGAGACAGTGGGGATTAAATAGAGTGGCTGAAACAGAGTGCAAGAAACAGAGTGCAAGAAACAAAGACGCTGAATTAGAGTGCGAGAAACACAGTGCCAGATACAGAGTGCGCAAAACATTGTGCGAGAAACAGACGGACTGTAACAGAGTGCGAAAAACAAATTTTTGAAACAGAGTTCGACAAACAGAGTGTGGGAAACAGGGTGCCTGAAAGAGAGGGGCAGATACAGAGCACGAGAAACAGAGTGAGAGAAACAGAGGAGCTGAAACAGAGTACGAGAAACAGAGGGGCAGAAATAGATTGCGAGAAACAGAGTGCCTGAAAGCGAGCGGATGAAACAGAATTGGCGAAACTGAGGGCCTGAAACTGAGTGCAAGAAACAGAGGGGCTGCAACAGAGTGCTAGAAACTGAGGGGCTTATACGGAGTGCTAGAAACAGAGGGGCAGAAACCGGGTGCAAGAAACAGAGGGGGTGAAACAGAGTGCCTGAAACAGAGCATCTGAAACAGAGTGCAAGAAACAGAGGGGCTGAAACAGAGGGGTTGAAACAGAGTGCGCAAAACAGAGTGGGAGAAACAGAGGGGCTGAAACAGAGTGCGAGAAACAGAGTAAGAGAAACAGACGGTCTGTAACAGAGTGCGAAAAACAAAGGTTTGAAACAGACTTTGAGAAACAGAGAGCTGAAACAGAGTGCGAGAAACAGAGTGAGAGAAACAGAGTGCGAGAAACAGAGTGCGAGAAACAGCATGCCTGAAAGAGAGGGGCTGAAACAGAGTTCGAGAAACAGAGGAGCTGAAACACAGTGCCAGAAACAGAGGGGCTGAAACAGAGTGTGAGAAACAAACTGCCTGAAGCTGAGGGGCTGAATCAGAGTACGAGAAACAGATTGGCTGAAACAGAGTGCGAGAAACAGAGGGGGTGAAACAGAGGGGTTGAAACGGAGTGCTAGAAACAAAGGGGCAGAAACAGAGTGTGAGAGACAGAGCAGATTAAACAGAGTGCAAGAAACAGAGTGCGAGAAACACAGGGGCTGAAACAGAGTGTGAGAAACAGAGGGGCTGAAATGGAGTGCTAGAAACAAAGGGGCAGAAACAGAGTGTGAGAGACAGTGCAGGTTAAACAGAGTGGCTGAAACAGAGTGCAAGAAACAGAGGGCGAGAAACAGAGGGCAAGAAACAGAGTGTGAGCAACAGAGTACAAGAAACAGCGGGGCTGAAACAATGTGCAAGAAACAGAGTGCGAGAAACAAAGAGGCTGAAATAGAGTGTGAGAAACACAGTGCCGTACAGAGTGCGCGAAATAGTGTGCGAGAAACAGACGGGCTGTAACAGAGTGCGAAAAACTTTAGCAGTTGGGGACCAAGCCACGTATTGTATATCTCCAGTATTTTAGACTTTTTTGTTCATTTAGTTTGCATCACACATATTTAAATTTGACAACATCATGTCAATGCTCACTTACAGCCTTTTATTTATTCAACTTCAGTGCAGATCAGATATCTCCTCAGTGATGTTTACATTTAAGTCTGTTTTCTCCTGAGTCTAAAATGAAAAGAAATATTGTAAGCACATAACAGGTAATTACTTTTTGATTCTTCCCTCACTGGTGCAAATCATTTCTTGGGTGTGTCACAAATACTGGGCACCATCAAATATCTACTTAAGTGGCCAATGTGCAACTGATGGTGCGTACAAGTACAAGTTTTCAGCCACAGAGACTTTCACTGCCAAACCCTGCTTTGTCCTTACCTGCTCTGTCCTTACCTGACAGCTAGACACAGTGTTCAGCAGATGAAACAGGGCTAACTTGGTCCTTCTGTACTTCCTGAAGAATCAAGATTATCATTGCATAGCTTTACCTGTGGTCCACATTTCCTTTGTAAACAGTTTAGTTGTCTCATGATTGGAACAAGGTTGGCCAGGTGGGTCTTGTTGAGTGAGATCCTTGATTGGGGGTTGTTAACCTGGGCCAATCAGGGAGCACTGGCTAACAGATATAAGCAAGAGTCTCAGAGTCTCCTCACGCCAGGGTCTGGCACTAAGCTAGTTGTTCAGAGTCCATGTATTGTGCTCACAGGTGGTGGGACACTGGCCTCTGTGCAGTTAGTTCAGTAGCAACAAAGACAAAACAATATGGTCCTCAAGAATTGTCACTTGCAACAGTCGTGTTTGAGTTGGAGTAAGTATTTCTGGCATCATGCCTTTGTTTTGGAAGGTTGTTTGATCCTGCTATCAAAGACTGGTCCCACCAGGTGGAAAGAATGCATTATTTTTTCCTGGGCAAACATGTGGATCACATGAAAGCTGCCATCTCACAAACAGAGCAGGAGCAAAACACACCCAGCCCCTCAGAACAGCCAAAAGGCCTATCAGAAACCATGGGTTCTCCCTGCCCCGAGTGTCTGAAACCTCAGAGTCTGAAATGGATGCAGCCTTAATACCATTAACACCTGAAGAAGACAAGGACACTCTCCTGAGATGCTCCAGGCACAAGAGACAGGCTATGGTATGGTACATACTGCCTGTGCCCATGTCAGAGGCAGAGAAACCAGATCTGGGTGAAAACGTCCCAGGAGAAGCTACAAGAAAAAGAACAGGTCGATATCCCTGAACTTAGCGAGGGAGGAATGAAGTGATTGGAATGAAGTTGGCCAGGCAGACATCATTGAGTGTGAGATCCCTGATTCGGGCTGTTAATTTGATCCAATCAGGGAGTCCTGGCTGACAGCTATAAACAGGAGTCTCAGAAAGTCTCCTCACTCCAGGTACTGGCACTGCGCTAGCTGGTCAGAGTCCACATACTGCATTCGTGTAAAAAAAAGGAAGACTTGGTGGCAGGATGCCAGCCTCTGTGCAGTTATTTCACTTTGATTAATATGTTTTAGACTTGTGTACTCATTGCCCAATGAAATTATTCAGCAATGAGAATCAACTGTTTAATTTCCTTTCCTACCTAGGTGATCTGCAAACATCACCCTAAACTGCGCTCCAACATGCAATAGCAGCCATGCCAAGTTGCGCCCTGAGAGAGGGAAGTATGCCAGTGAATTTAATGCAGTCAACTTAGCCAATATGTCTGTGAGGCTTGAGGCACTGCTAAATATTTAAGAGTGAAGTGAAGATTATTAATGTTGGGTATGAGTCCTAACTGACGGAGGTTGTTGGCAGCTGAGTGTTAAGAGTGTGATCGTGCATAGTGTAGTGGCTGAGGATAATGGTTCAGTTGGCGCAGTATGGCATTTGAAAACACACTGACAAAGTTATTGAGCTCTTTGTGGCACTATATCCAGGTCTGGAATTGACACCTGGCATCAATCATCACAGCTAACTGGTCCTATCACCTTCCAGGAATTTGCCTGAAGGGTTTCCTGGTTCTCTGCATAGATATCTCTCCTCCTCTGCATCTTCTTGATCAGGATCTCCAGCATAGCATAGGACTCAGTATAGCCCCGACTCTGCCATTTGGTGCCAATATTAAGGATTTCACAGGCCTGAATCACTGTTGAATTACATTCAGCACCCAATCCAACCATAATGCACTTCCTCTTTAAGAGATGCAGTAATCCAAATTATTGTTAACTGGCATTAGATGCACAATTAAAAGCATTATGTAAGTATTGTTAATGCTGATTGTATGCAATAATGTAAATTCATATATCTTTAATTTTAATCAGAAAAGGAAGCTTTACATCCAAGCTGCAATTTAGAGATCTGTTCTCTACCTTCCAAATCACTATTATAACTCTTTCTCTGGCATCAGCTGAAAATCTATTTGGCAATTCCTGGGTCGCTTTTTGTAACACACCTAAATATTAAAATTGTTGTTAATGTGGCACTAGAATTTTCTGTTGATTTTCTTATTCATGTTTTTCTGTTGCCCATCACTTTCAGTGGAATGACTTACACTTCTCTCATTTTAACATATTCCCTTCTGGGGTCCTTTTAAAAGTTCAAATGGGATCATTATGACAGTGTCATGAAAGGCCTGTGAACAGAAACAGTTCCCTAGTTTTGGCACTACTTCAGAACTTCTGTCTGCCACTCAAAATCACTGCAAGACTTTTGCAGAACACACAAATATTGCTAATGTATCCTAACCGTAATATAAAAAATGTTTGTTGGCTCATATTTTCTAATAATTGTCCCACTGTTGTCATGAAATTTTGTCCAATAAGAAATTCCTGATGTTAAAAAAGAATTCAAAAATACAAGTATGTTCTTATTGACAAACAAAACAAACACACTGATATTCAGATTATTTGAAGCACTAGTCAAAAGTGCAGTTTCTATTTTTTCTGGATAAGTCAAAATTCTAACTGTAAAGTAATTATTTATAAATTCTCAGAGCTTCAAAGTTAATGTAATAGCATAGAAGCACAGTAACTGTTGTAAATTAGAAAAAATGACAATTTCTGATTGTAAGATCCCACACATATGAGATAAATGATGCAGTTGAGGGAGCTAATGAGGCCAGCAGAACATTGATACTCTTGCAATAGTTCTGTGGGACCTTTTATCTGCTTGTTAAAGCAGACAGGATCTTGGTTTTGTATGTTAAGTGAAAGACGATAACCCTCACAATGTACCTTATTGTTCTTCAGTGAATTAAATGCATCAGTAGCTTAAATTACAGGATTTCCCATTCTGCTTCTGGAGTAGTTGGCAGGGAATGTACACATACCAATCAGGACTGTCCCACAGCCATCTACGTTTCCTGGAAGCATAATTGGCTGGAGGCACGACTTCTGGCCCTTCACTCCACTGGAAATCCCATCTCACAGAGCTGCCAGCCAATCAGATTTGCCAGTAGCACTCTGAGATGGAATTTCCACTAGTGCAACAATAGTGCCAACTGACAGTGATGGCCACCACTGGGACTACAAGTACTCAGAGTCAAAGTGACCAGGCCAGGATGCATATAAGTGCAGGGGAAGGGGTCACAACGGGACTAGGGCGGGGGAATGAGGCGGATGGGAGGGCTCATTGAAGGGCAGGTGGGGAGAGAGAAGCTATGTTCTCAAACCCATTGACTGATCTTCAAAAGAGCTAGCAATCCATAAGCACCCAGCCCCCAATAAAAATGTGGACATGTCCAGAGCAGGTTGCCAGCAGGGACCAATACATTTCCGCTCCATGAATCTGGCATGAATTTTCAATCCACTTACTTCTAGTAAGGGTACTATGGAATGACAACTGATACTTCAGGTCAATTTTTAGTATTTATTTGCATTTTATACAATAAATTGTAATTGTGATCATTAGGTACTATTATTTATGGATTTAAATGTTGATGGAACTGGTTCCATCAAAGTTTCAAATTGAAAATCTCTACCACAATTGAACAATGGATATGATAGCGTTCATTGATAACTATGTATTCTGCTCCTACAATTGCTGATGTCTCCATGCTTTCCAAGGTACAGAAAGGCCCATAAGATTATATTAAACATTAAGTTGTGGAGTGATCAGTAAACACAAACACTATTATTACAAATACCAAGTAAATATTTCAGCAACTTACATATTGTCTTGCCTTTTCGTCATTTTCCATTTCTTTTTGTGCTATGTATTTTTCCTAGTGGAACAAAACAATGCAATTTTGTTATGTATCACTGTTCATCTGTGCCTAGTCAGAAATGTACAATAGAAACTGAAATGCTAACAAAATTACTTTGGAAACAACAACCATGTTAATTTTGGAATTTCCTTGAA